TTTTTTCTGCTTAGCAAATATAACTACACCTGCAAAATTTGGGGCCCATGTATACAAAGAGAGAACAAACATGCAGTCCCCTCAGAAGATGAAAACTGTGGATCAAAATTTAAAAAAAAAAAGAAAAAAAAAGTGGAAAGAAAAAGCCCTCTTGCTTCTCTCAGTAATAGCGAAGTATGGGATAGCAAGGAATCTGAGCCAGAGATAAGCAGACGGATGAAAATTCATTCTCACTGTAATCCAGATAGTACAGGTGACCCTAGCAATGAAGACAGAGTGGCTTGTCGCAGAGAAAGGTAGCTCGTGGTGGGGGCATGATACATAGCTGAATCTATGCATCTTTATGGCAATTGCCATCTGAACTAGCTACATAGCTAACACAGCAATGCCTGTACATTTACAATCACATTATACATACATAAAACAGTATACATGCAGCTATCATTTCCAGTTATCCCTTTTAGCTTTCAGCCTTTTCCATTTTTTTTCCTGCCCTGTTGCATCTTTCTTTTTGTCTCCCAAAACCTCTTATGTATAGGCTATAATGAAGCTTCCTTGAGCTGGTGTCACCACAGAAAATATTGCTCTGTATTGTGTCTGTGCAGTCCTATTATAAGGTCTTTGTGACACAGTCCATGTAGGTTTTTTCTCATCGTAAAACTGACATTTTAATATATCCATATATTTAATATATATATATATATAAAATACGAAGGATGGATAAGAAATATATAGTGCTTGTAAGCTTTGCTTCTTCATAATTATCATTATAAATGCTGGCAGGGTTGGCTGCAGTCTAAGTAAGAAAGTGAAAACAGGCTTCCTAGGCATAAGTACATCATATTACTCAGATGTCATGCTGCACTACTGGGTGACAAAAACAAACTTTAGATCTTTTAGGAGACTCATGCTGATTAAACAGCTGTACCAGCCTGGGTATTTGCAGAACTCTGTTGCAGCTCCCGGATCAATAAGAGTCAGGCAATGTGTTTATGTAACCATCATATTCCTAACTTATATAAGTAATTATAATTTCTATTTTATAACAAAACTTAGATAGTTTGTGCATGTGGTTTGCTGAAAGATATAACCTGTCTGAAAAAGGGTTACCCCACAACGGAAACTCTAACCAGCCATGCCATGATGTTGCCTATATGTTTTATTTATAATAGTCATTTAAATAATGTAATGCAGCTCTGAATATATATTAAAAACAGCTCCCTGTTACATATCTTTTCATATTAGAATGCAGTCATATTCTTAGTTTCCTCTAACCCAAACTTCTCATGCAGTTACACTTTAATACGAAAAGAAATGTTGTCAAGAGTAGTTATTATCACACATCAGAATATTGTATTAGCATTCACTTTTAATAGATTAAAATGAAAGATTTTGAAATCTGCCCTTAATGATACTGAAGGATTTTGGAGACACATTGAGAAAGCCTTAGATGAAATGTCATATGATATATATGCATCATATATAGATCCTCAAAAGCCAGTTCAGTTAACTGCCTTCCTTTGTGTTTCATCTGTTGTGTTTGGATGAATCACCCACAGCTTGCGTGATGCTTGTGTATCTTCACAGTTTGTTTGCTTGCAGTCAAGCACAGTAATTGTCAGGGAAGTTCAGAAACTGTAAGGTTCTTGCAGATCTAGGATGGTAAGTAATATGAGATAATTTTGGAGGAATAGAGTCTAACCTGGAAGAAAAATCTTATGGTTGGAAGGGCCTTGGGGGTCATATCTGCTGTCTGTTGACACACTGTCTAACCTTGGATAAATTGCTTGGACAGGTAGCTGACTGTGTAAGTCAACTTACTCATCAAGCTACATTCAAGTTGGCTATTCTGGAGGAGAGCTGTTGAGAGATGGTATACTGCAGAGCATGCATGTTACAAAGTAGTGTATAAAAAGGTGAAATGATTCAACACTAGAGAGAACATTGATTGCTTGGGCTTAGGGGTTTGTTTTGCAGGCTGCTGTTACACATAGGAAAAAGGAGGTCATAAAAGCTCCTTGTGTGAGGACTTTTGAGATGGTCAAATTGTTGGCATTTTCTCTGTTTATTGTGTCAGTGATGTGAGATAGTTGCTTTTGGTGGGACATGGCTACAACGCACTGTGTCAGTGTTTCTGGACTGCTTTTTTATTACTGAAGATTTGCGTACTCTTTTGGGAGGGTGTTAACATACTCTTTTCAGCATTCAGGTTTGCAGTTGTTTCCCGTCTCTTATGTCTTGGGGACACCTGTATACCAACCTGCAGTAAACTGGGGGCAGATAATTTGTAAATGTAGTATAAATAGCAACATAACACTATTTACATTGGCAATATGGTGCAGTCTGCATCCTGCGCATAGAAGGACTAAAAAAAATGCACAGACCATCCAATCATATTGAACTATACAATAGATTGCACCTATTTCTAGCAAGCAGAGAGTGAAAATACTGCAGTGACTGAAGTCCATGTCTGAATATTGAAGAAATCAACTAATAAATCAAAAGTTACTGGTTATTTGTAGATGTTAAAAGTTCACTGAGATTTACAATAAATTTTTTGAGCATTGACCTTAACAAACAGATTCATCTAAAATTTTGTGGAAGGTCATTTCTTCTTTAAGACCAGGAAGACCAGGATGTTTGACTTCAGATGTAGCTTTTGTTTTTACGTTTCAGTGATGTATGCTTTACCTTAAGCCCTCAGATGACAGTACAACAGGATAATTTCAAAACTAAGTGGAGAGCCACAAGGAAAACACCAGAAAGGCTGAGATCCAAAATCATATCAATGTCTGAGGCACTATTAGGAGCAAGGAACTGATTAGGCAGAAAGATGATCCAAGAAGACTTCCAAGATCCTTGGAAATATGACCTTAAAGAAATGGTTTTCTGAATACAGATTTGGTGATTGAGACAATTGTAAGCTTGGGAACAAGGACAGATAACCAAACATCCAAAAGAGAGAATTATCATAGTTATTATCATTAAGATTCTTTTTTCAAGCCACAGGGTAAGGGTTATAGGAAGGCAAAAAGTTATGCAGACTTTGTAACGTAATGCAGCAAATATATGAGTTCAAGAGGGAAATTCAGAATGGTTGGCATCTTTCTATCAGACATCTTTCCTGGGTGTAAGTACCAAGCAGAGTGATCAAGACACTTTTCAGCCTTCTCTGTAACAAGCTGAATAAGTTAAACTGCTGTAGGCCTTACGCTGGGTGTAACATTGATTTCCAAACGTAGGGTATGAGATCTCTCTTCAGAAGTTTGTCTGCCCATTTAAGTAGCCTTGACCCTCTTTCCGGTTTGCGAGCGATCCTGAGAAATTTTCTCCAAACTCTACTTTGAATGGTAATGTCAGAATGCTTCCATGTCAGAATATGGCAATAGCAGTTTTAAACAGGGGGCAGTAAATAAATAGAAGGATCATCATTCCCTCTTTTTAAGCACTAAACCAAATAGATCTATTCTATCCAACTTTGGGAAAATTACACATGCTTTGGCAGGTCTGTGCCTGTGGCATAATCCTATCTTTCCCATGAAAGCAGGAATTCTGACAGATAGGCTGTGACTATCTATTAAATAACTGGCTATGAAAGGCAGACCATCAACTGGTACGCCAGGAGCTGGCACGTGTTCATTTTTACAGCTACTATTACAAGGCTCGTAGGCCCTGGCAGAGGGAGAGGTAGAACAGCTGGAGGCCAAAACCTTTTCAGCTGCCTCAGCAAAAATTAGGGGAGCTGCCTGCCAAAGCCACAGTTTGACTTTGTCTACCTTAATCTAGCTGAATATACTGCACCTTGTAGGTAGGATGTTCAGAAAAACTCATCCCAGGCCTAGAAACATTTGTGGGACTTTCACTGCCACCATCTGTAGAAACAGGGCAGGCTCATCAATGGGAGTTTTTAAAAAGCCCGCCACATGATCAGAAATGGCTCATTTCCCAAATATGTCACTTTAAGCATTCACAGAAGGGGTCAGGTGAAAGTTATTTCGAACAGACTT